GAAATGTGTTGTCCCACCTCTTTGCTGACAAGTGACTATTCCTCTTGATTATGCCCTTCTGTGACCGAATCCCGAAGTTCCACCTTACTGTGTCACACAAGACTGTGGTAATCATAAATGAGCAGCTCCTCACCTTGTACCTCTTTTTTATTATTCTGCTCACATGTTTATTCCCATTTCCCTTTCATCAGTGGAAACATTGCTCTTGATGCTCCTACAGAACTAGAAGGATTTGCTGCTCTTATGTATGTATGCTCCTCTCATTACCAGCCTGGAAAAAGCTCATGAAAAATGGAGGAAAAATGGACGGTCCCAATTCTTTGTTTCACTTCTCTGGCATGTAGATCTGGGATAGCAGACATGCTTAACACATGCCCAGCTATACAAGGATAGCTGTTCGCCTCCTATACACTCTCTAAATTTGGAGAGCATACAGGAGAACTTACGGTAGCTAAAAGAAATGCTTTAATCTTTGCTTACTTTGGCTCTGGCAGCCCAAGAGAAGCAGCTATTTCACCCAGTGCAGTATTTGTCAGCCAACCTCAGTCACTTCTTCTGCCAAAGGCTGGCAGCAGGACTGGCCTTAGACCGACTCCAGCCATGAATTTCCATGAAGAGAAGACCAAATCCTTAACAGCTTTTTGGAGGAGGTGGCAGAGTCGTGCCCTCTCCTGGCCAACAAAGCCAGACCTGCCCAAGTTCTCCATGCACTGTCAGAGACAACGAACAGCAACAGCAGCTTGTAAGCTTGCTCACCAAGGCACCTCTACAGTCATGGAGTTAGCTCCTCAGCTTTTAACGGAGTTACATGATGCTGCTCAACTAAAGAGGAGCAGAGCAACACAAGAGCGCTCTGTCACAGCACGGTTTGACAGATACCGTGGCTCAAAACCCTCAAAGCTGATTAAAACCCAGTGCCAGGAAGCCACTGCTCACGTGCTGCGTCAGCTAGAAACTCGGACAACAGCCTGTGCTTGTTAAAAAATATTGTTAATCCTAGAATGAATCCTCAAAAGACACCATGGAAAATGTTTAGGCTTAAGCAAAAAGCAGAGTGCTCTAAATAATTCTAGTCCCTTCCTCATTGTCCCAGAGGGAAGCAGCCTTCACACCCCGGCATGTAACCAGAACACGCTCGCTGAATAGACTTCTGCTAACTAGCTGCCTGTCATAAAGGCAGTTTGTAGCTTTAAAGAAAGGAAGGAGGGAGAAAAAAGAGCTCCAAAATTATCTTAACTATGGAAGTCATACAGATAGCTGCCACACAAACGCAGTGATTCTCACAGAGTCTCAGTTCACGTCTTAAATTGAGTAGTTTCATCCCTAAAATACTTTTTTCCTGCTGCACCGCTTCCTGGAAGCTGCAGGAGCCCAAGGACTGCTCCCGGCGTCAAAGGAAAAGTAGCTCGTAGCACCGCACCTGCGGGAGCTCCTTCAAAACTTACAGGAGGGTTGTTGCAGTGTTAAAACTTCCCATATTCGAGACACTTCTGATTTTCTAAGTTCTACATTAAAGCTGGCAGGCGCCGCATACCATGTTAAACACGTTAATCGCTTAAAAAAAAATAATAAATGATTTGATCTTTTTAAAAGAGGATCCACAGCAAAATATTCTGATATTACAAGACAGTTGTAATATCACAACTGTCAGATATTACAATATGTTTCCGCCTAGGCAGAAGCTCAGGGCCACCCGGGAAATGCCGGCAGCCGCGAAGTACTCCAAACACGGCTTCACCCTCCGTGGCTTTTCCCCGCCTTGCTGAAGGTGCCCCAACGGCACAACACCCTCCTCATTTTGGGCAGGTCCCCCCTCAGCATCGCCCAGCTCCATGCCCTCTGCTCCAGCAGCCCTTTTTCTACCGTTCTTTTTCTCCGCGCATTACATCTCTATTTCTCTCCAGTAGTTTTGCCAGCAAAACTTTTCAGAGCCGATCGCGGTGGAGACCCTACAACCTAGGTTGTAGACCCTACAACCTAGGTGGATGTCTTTAACCCTACAACCTACTGTGTTTCAACCAGCTGAGATATTTGCCCGTCTCCATAATGCTGTACGATCTAATAATTCCTAGCAGCACAATTTCTCTTTAACAGAAAAACGCAGCCTGCCGTATTTTGTCACCAAGTTCCTCCGGCTTTCAGAGGTTTCGTTATCGAGTGTCGTTTTCTACAGCTACCTGGCAAAGGCAGAAAGAGAGCTAAGGCAGGGCCCCTCTTACACAAACTCTTGCAATACTTCCAACGTTACATTTCGTGCTGCTGTAGACTTCAACAACCCCGCAGAAAAGTCAGCCAGCCTAAACACACCAGCAGCTACACGGTCGCAAAACGCTGCCTGGACCCTTTGGTCTTTTCCAACACCAGAAGACGTCGGTCAGGTGATGAGAAAGCCATTCGAACTCCGATTTTAGCACCCTAATACAAAATCAATTCACTGCTCAGAGGAAGGTAACGCTGTTCATCTAGCCGGAGGCACAAACGAGCCAGTTGCCGCGTCCACGTGCGCTTCTCCGGGGCTGGAAATCCTCCCCTCCGGCTCGGGGACAAGCTTCGGTGCGGGACAGGCTCGTCCTGAGCAGCGCTCCGGCCCCAGGGCTGCTTTGCCGATGCCTTTTGCCTCTGTGTTACCCCTCCAGGCCATTTTTTCAAAGCAGAACTGCATTTTTTTTTTAAACCTTTTCTAACAGCAAACAGAAAAAAAAAATCCCAGGTGTAGAATTTATCGTATTATTTAAAATTTTGAATTTGGTCAATCTTCAGCAACCCCGGGGCAGGGGAGGGAATCCGCTCTGTGCCAGGAAAGAAGGCTTCACTTATATGAGAATCAGTTTGCAACCCAGACAAGGATACGGGAGTTCATTTTGTACGGTTTCTCCCCAAACCATCTTCGTGGGGGGGG